AGTTCTGTTTGTCACTCTTTAGCATCAATCACGTACCTATCATCCTGTAAACATATTCATTGGCCGTGCCACAAATATCCAAAATCTCAACAACAAGCAGCAGCATACTTTGTAGATTGTACTTCTTACTCCTTACTTCTTAGAACCGAATTAACTGACTCTACTCAATAGAATGACGAAGCGGCCGTGCTTGTTCCGGATGATTTAGATTATTATTCTTGCCAATGACTCGCGCAGATTATGTTCTAGGTAGTACATCTTCTGACCCAGGGCGGTTCAACTCTTCAAGTACATTGCTGGCTCCTCTCGCATCCTGGTGACACATCCATTTGATCTGTATCACAATGGAACATACCGACTGTCGTTGTATCTTGCTGATGTGACATATCCACCGTGCCTTTGCTATTGTTACGGCTCCTTGTAGATCAGTCTCAATTATGAAATATATAACTCAAATGGCATCCGCCAATAAGCTAGCCAAGCTGTTGATGCAGGCAAGCTCACATATGCACCCTGCTCGAAGCCTTGACCATTAGGTTAAGACAAACGTGTGCAGGTCTGGGCCGGACTGGATGGCCGTGCAGTATGCATGGTCAATCCCATTCATCTTTGTCGGTGCGTAGTCAAGAAGCACAATTGTCAATAAAGGGGTAATCAATTTCTCTGCTTCATATTGTATTTCGATGGATCTTGACTAACGAGTCACATTTCCTAAGGTTGACAGAGGTTTGTCGGCATGACTGATTTTGGAAACCTCATATTGAATCAGATGCCTGTATTTCTTGAAATTGAGCCTGTTTTGCTTAGTATCTGATCAAGCACAACTTTGGGGGCTCCTCATACAGACAGGACCGGATGGTACTGAAGATGAACGGCAAGTCGGTCGTACGCCGAGACTTTCTAGAGTTCTATCGTGAGCATTTATTCCTGGTCTGTGTCAATGTGGTTTACATAGGCCATGGTTCGTCCCATCTTGCGCTCGAGATCTAGTCGGTCTTATTCCTGTTAGGCCCTTGAATAAGAGTCAGAAGAATCCTTTCTGTATACACTGCCCAAAGATCAATGTCTCAAGGACTTTTGCTTGCTCCTCACTGTTCAAGCGAAGAAGCTGGAACACAGGCTCTCGGCAATCAGGATAAACTTCTCCAATTCAGCGGCACGCGAGTCATCATCATGCCTACCGGTCCTGGCCTCCTGGGGTCGTACTTGGGGGCACTGCAAGGTTTATCTTGTCCTTGAACTAGTCCATGGCTAAAGACTGTGGAAGAGTTACCAGTGAGAATATTAGAATAACTTGAGAACTATGTTTGGTTCCAAACAGGACGATCTGGACCTCAAGGTAGATGGAGTACCCAGTGTGATGCCCATATTCGCTTCCACCTCGGCTAAATTGGCCCTGACTCTACCTTGAGCATCTCTGCACCTCCCATTTACCCATCCAATAACAACTGCAAAAGCGACAAACGGTGTCCTATCCATGGAACAAGCTCCATCTGCATCAGCGATTTATCCATCACTAAAAGTTGTCAGGCCATTTACCGCTCGAGGTGGTCGCATCGGACTTCATTCCGAACCCCGATCGCCATGCCCACAGCCCACCTGCCCCTCCTCAAAAGGTCATTAGGAAAACAACGCCATGCAGATGAGATATAAACATGATCTGGCACCCTCAGGCGCTGAGACAACGATGTCATGCGGCACTGACGAGACTTTTCTCGCATTGTCTCGATCCTAACCCCCAAGACAGGTCAATCGATCACAATGTCCGTCCACGCCAATGGAAAGACTCCTACCCAGGCCTTTAGTCGGTCTCCCTTTCGCACACGCAGCGACTTTCAAGACGCATGTCGAGCGCTCCTCGACCCGCTCATCCCGCGCTTCACACCCGGCTGCAGTCGTGTGAAGATCGGCACGTCGACGACCCGGTTCGATGAAGGGGGCGCCCAGATCGAGGGCTTTGCGCGTCCCCTCTGGGCCCTTGCTTCCTTGCTGGGTGGAGGCTATGACTATGCAGAGGCAGCTCGTTGGCGCGAGGGCTTTATCAGCGGGACTGATCCCAACAGTCCGGAGTACTGGGGCGACATTGAGGATATGGACCAGCGCATGGTGGAGATGTGTCCTATCGGGTTTACGTTGGCCGTTGCACCTCACGTCTTCTGGGATCCGTTGACGGACAAGCAGAAGGAGAATATTGCGAATTGGCTGGCGCAGATCAATGCGCGCGAGATGCCAAATACTAATTGGTATGTCTTTGATTACAGAAGAGTCTGGGGGGCTTGTTCTCACCTTATTGTACAGGCTGTGGTTCCGGGTTTTCGCCAACCTGGGTCTGCGAAGGAATAACGCCCCTTACTCGCTTGCGCGTATCGAGGCAGATATGGATCATCTAGATACATTCCACGTCGGCGCAGGCTGGAGTAATGATGGCCCCAAGAGCCATCACCAGATGGATTACTACTCGGGCTCCTTTGCCATCCAGTTTCTACAACTTCTGTATGCCAAGTTGGCTGGTGATTTTGACCAACCCCGCGCTGAAAGATACCGTGACCGTGCGAGGCAATATGCTCAAGACTTTGTCCATTATTTCAGTCCAAATGGTTGGTCGTCCACTCCTATTTGGAGAACTAGTGAAACTGACGTAGGATCAGGCAGTGCTATTCCATTTGGACGCTCGATGACGTACCGCTTTGCCATGGTCGGATTCTGGGGTGCACTGGCTTTTGCGGACGTTGAGCTACCTGCTCCATTGACCTGGGGAGTGGTCAAAGGTATCTTGCTGCGCCATTTCCGTTGGTGGGCTACCCAGGAAGACATCTTCAACAGTGATGGGACCTTGAGTCTGGGATACTCCTACGCAAACATGTACTTGACGGAAAACTACAATTCTCCTGGATCTCCTTATTGGTGCTGTCTGTCATTTGTTCCCCTGGTGTTGCCAGAATCGCATCCCTTCTGGGCAGCGCAGGAGGAACCCTACCCCACTGCCTCCCTCCCAGCCGTTGCAGCCCTTGAATACCCCAAGCACATCATGGTTCATCGTGGTGGACACTGGTTCCTGCTGTCGTCCGGTCAGGCCTGCCATTATCCGCTGAAAGCTACCCAGGCCAAGTATGGCAAGTTTGCTTACAGCGCGTCGTTTGGATACTCCGTTCCCACCGGCTCCTATCAGTTAGAACAGCACGCACCAGATAGCATGCTTGCTCTCTCTGACGATGGGGGCGATATCTGGCAGACACGAAGATTGGCACTAAACGTCCGGTTTGAATGGCTTGATGATGTTCCCATGCTCGTCTCCGGCTGGAAGCCGTGGAAGGACGTCGATGTCGACACGTGGCTCATACCTCCAACCGAGGAGACCGAAAACTGGCACCTTCGCATTCACCGGGTGAGAACGGAGCGCGAACTCTTGGTTAACGAAGGGGCGTTTGCGATCTACGGCTGCCGCAGTGACAACGGCCGCATCCTCGGCCCGTTCACTCCAGGTTCATCCGAAGGTACCTTGAAGGAATCGCAGCGGGCGCTCACGGTCTCGTCTGTCGGCGCCGTTGGCATCGTGGAGCTTCAGTCGAATGTGGATCGAGAAGGCAGGATAGTACTGGCAGATGCCAACTCGAATCTGATCTACGGTCGTACTCTGCTCCCTTCGCTGGGATCGAAGCTCAGCCCCGGGAGCGACACTTGGTTCGCGACGGCGGTATTCGCCTTGCCAGCTGAAGGAAACGGCGACGACTGGCAGGAGAAATGGCGCACGAAATGGGAACGGATCCCAGACATCCCGGACAAACTGAAGCAGATCATGGTGAAGCAGGACTGAAAGGCCAAGCAAAGGATCGAGGGGGATTACTCCTAGCTTCCATAAACTATCTATCTGCATCACCACAGTATCTATCCTGGGGGTGGAGTGTGCAAATGAAACTGATTAACAGCAAATTGCACGATAAGACAGGTAGCTACCAAGACGTGTAGAATACTTCATATCAATGCTGCCCAATGGCCAGCACCGGATGAATGAACTGTTTCTGGCTAAATCACCCACTCACTAGCTTCAGCCAAGTGAGCCGACCTGCCGCACTAAAGTAGCTTAGATGCAACCTTTCGTCTCAATCAAGTTGAATTGATGCTGATCGGGCCCTACTTTCCCCGCAAACTTACTTCTGCTTTTGTGTTTCCCCTCCCTGTTTCTGCTTGGCACATCCTCGCCGTTCCACCATTCGCATCGAGCCTTGGCCATCCTTCATTCTTTCAAATCAGGTGGCATGAGTGACTCGGGGCATCAACCAGCAATCCCCAGACTGGAGCCAAGCTCTAAACAGCTTGCTGAGTCTCGGTCATCCCATTTCATTCGTTGTCGCCCCCACACTACCCCATCCTCGCACACCAAACACCCCATTTCCCCGGTTAATTTCCCTCGTGCTGACCATCAGCCATGATACGAGATCAGGGCCAAGGATCCTGTCTACTGGTTGCTCTGGCTAAGACCAACAGCATGGCGCTATCGTTCTACCAAAACCGAGAGGTTACCGTTGCCCAGACGGACATACACCCTTGTCCTCTGACCTTCCTTTTTTCTTCGTCCAACCCGTCCAAACCACGAGCTCTAGGCGTTCTCGGCATCTGAGGTATCTTCACCTAGGCTGCTCATCATCTGCTATAATTCGTGGAAAGATTTCAGCGCGCTGGTCGTCTTTTTTCCCGTGGCTGGCAGTCATGTTACCCACACGGTTTGCATGATGACGGTTACTGATATCAGACACCGTCGGTTATATATACATTACCAGGTCGGTTGATCGATCGGCGGGTCTGTTGAGGTAAAGAGACACATAAACATTGCCATCCCTGGACTCTTTAACCTAGGGTTGCGTTTGGTTTTCGCGTCGGGGATCTTGTTCAACCATCTTGTCAGGGATGAACGTGGGATTTTAGACGTAGTGTCTCAGATTATATCGACTTTTCTTCATTAATTCTTTAGCTCTGTTGACGAGCCCACTGTCATCGTCAACATGTCTGCCATCCTCAGAAAGCTCGTCCACAATGAGGCTATACGAGAGGACCCCAAGGAAATCTATGGGTGGAGAGTGTATATGCTTGCCTGCTCGGTTAGTTGCCCAACGATATCACCGTATTCAGAGACTGACGAGTCTGTAGGCATGCTTCGGTGGTATGCTTTTCGGGATGGAAACAGGCATCATCGGGGGTGTCCTCAGAATGAGTCCGTTCATGGCGTGCGTCCACTTGCCGAAAATATAACCTTGGAGAGCTTGCTCTAACCGTCACCAGAAAATATGGCCTGAACGGTCTGAGTGCGGTCGACCAGGCAAATCTCTCTGCCAACATTGTGTCCACGCTGCAAGCGGGCTGTTTCTTTGGGGCCCTCATCGCTTCGCCGGTGGCTGATCGCTGGGGAAGAAAGCCCGGTCTGATATCGGCATCGGTTCTGGCCATCCTGGGTGTGATCATGCAGGTTGCCGCCAGTGGCCACCTGGAGGCCCTGTATATTGGACGGTGAGTGGCTTCCGGGTCCCTTTGTAACAACTCGTGAGGAGCATTCGCTGAGTGCTTCGTTCTTTTGCAGACTGGTCACCGGCTTCGGTGTCGGTTTCGCCTCGATGATCAACCCCCTCTACGTGTCGGAGAACGCTCCTCGTGCCATCCGTGGTGGTCTGACCGGGCTGTACCAGCTCTTCATCACCATGGGCATTATGCTGGCGTTCTGGATCAACTACGGCTCCCTGCTGCACATCAGCGGCCCGGCCATGTACCTCGTCCCGCTGGCCATGCAGGGACTCCCCGCCATCTGCCTCCTGGTCGGTATGCTCCTGTGTAACGAGTCCCCCCGCTGGCTCGCCCGCCAGGACCGCTGGGAAGCCGCACGCGCCACACTATCCCAAGTGCGCCACTTGCCCCCCACCCACCCCTACATCGAGCGCGAGTTCCAGGACATCGTCGCGCAGCTCGAGCACGAGCGCCAGCTCATCGGCGGCTCGGGCCCCTGGGACCTCATGCGAGAGATGTGGCTGATCCCGGGGAACCGCAAGCGCGCCCTCATCAGCATCTTCCTCATGGTCTGCCAGCAGATGACCGGCACCAACGCAATCAACTACTACGCGCCCCAGATCTTCCAGAACCTCGGCGTCACCGGCAAAGCCAACGGCCTCTTCGCCACAGGCGTCTACGGCATCGTCAAGGTGGTCGGCTGCGCCTTTTTCCTCGTCTTCGTCGCCGACTCCCTCGGCCGCCGCCGCTCCCTCCTCTGGACCTCCGTCGCCCAGGGCCTGACCATGCTCTACATCGGCCTGTACGTCCGCATCGCGCCCCCCAAGGCCGGCGAGCCCGTCATCCCCGCCGGCTACGTCGCCCTCGTCTGCATCTTCCTCTTCGCCGCCTGCTTCCAGTTCGGCTGGGGGCCCGTCTGCTGGATCTACGTCTCTGAAATCCCCACCGCCCGCCTGCGAGGCCTGAACGTCTCCTTCGCCGCCGCTACGCAGTGGCTCTTCAACTTTGTCGTCGCCCGCGCCGTCCCCAATATGCTTGCCACCGTCGGTGCGAATGGTTACGGGTACCACTCTCCCTCCCCCAGAATCCTCTTTCCCCCGTTCCAAGTGAAGTATGCTAACGGTCAAAAGAACGTACATTATCTTCTCCTGCTTCTGTCTCTCCATGGGTGTGTTCGTATGGTTCTTCATCCCTGAAACCAAGGGTAAACTTCCCCCGCCCCTTCCTGCCAAATCATCATGTATTAAACAGTTCATGCTGACGAGAATAGGTCTCTCGCTCGAGAAAATGGATGAGTTGTTCGGCGTCACGACCGCCGAGGATAGCAAGGTGGCCGATGCCGAGCGGGCTATGAGTACGACCGACAAGGAGGCCGAAACCGTGGTTGAGACAAGGGTTGAAAGGGCGTAGATAGCTCTGCTTGTAATGTCCTGGTAAGGGAGTTCTGGTAACTTGCTATGAATCAGAGTATCCTGTTTGATAGATGGTTGTAGGACTGAATTTTTGTTCATCATGGTTCGTAAGTCGTATATTCCTGTCGTTATGTACAAATCCGCAATAAATTCCCACACAGCAGAGTGACAAAACAAGAAGACAGACTGGGGTAAGTGGATGCAAAATAATATCAATCAATCGACCCTTGAACGCTTTTGACATTCGAAAGGCGACACAGTCCAATATCTTAATGAATGCAAATATACCTGGATCTCAAACAAAGCAAACCCCAACTCCGCTAATGCACGTCATAGCATATAAAGAAGAAAATAGTTGAAGCTGTTCAAACGTTTACTTCAAACCGCGCATCGAGTATTTACGGAATCCTTCATTTCCGGCAAGTCTCTGCGTCTGACTGCGCGTCACTCGCCGGGAGGGCTGGTCATCAAGACTCAACCCCCCGATTCCAGGTCCAAGGTCTGAGCGTCTTGGGGAGAAGAATGTATCAGTCGGGTTCCGACCGTAGCGGATATTCCTGACCGTGTTGCTTGTGGCTGTCGTTGCCGTCGTCACGGTCGTCTCGGTGTCTGAATCGCGATCGTACGCATCAGAGAAGTCGGATTCATTGTCCTTGAGACTATTCAATGTGAAGCTGTGATCACGTTTGAGGCCTTGATTGTGGTTCGGAAATCCTAGTTGGTACTGTGCCTCTGGTGACCGCGTCATGAAGCTGGAACCGGCAGCAGTCGAAGAAAATGAAAGAGGGGGGACAGGGGGCTCAGCAGAACAGAATGGCGAAGATGGTTGCTCGGGCCGAGCATGGCTTCCAAGTGATGGACTGCCCGAAGCGCTTTCGTCCGCAGACCGGATGGGCTGCTGCACTTGAGAGCCAGTATCACCAGCTAGCGCGATACGATAGAGAGATAACAGCCCCAATGCTTCCTGAACGGTCATAAAGGTCAACAGAAGTTTCCCATATCTGTCAAAATAATGTCTCTCGAACGACACATGTGGAAGGTGCCCCCCAAGGTGGACGGCCGCCACAAGCTCGGCGAAATAAACAAGGATCTCCATGCCGTTCCATTGCGCGATGGGTTGCTTGAGGACATCCAACAGTGCGAATCCTGCAATTAGACTTGCACTCCCAAGAGAAGCCACCTCGACGTAATTGCCAGGAATTGAGAGATGGTTGTACTGTGATAGAAGCCACGCAGCAATAGATGCTAGTAGTAGGCCCACCCGAAAGTACTGGAACATAAAGAGTGTTTGCATATCCGCGGACTGGCGAGCATGCGCACTCGATGCTCGCTGGTGCTGCTGCCAGTTCTCGTTCCCCTCATCCTCAGGCGATTTGATCGTAAAAGCTCGGTCAAACAAACTCTCCAGCCCAGTTGAAGCAAGATGGTCACTGGTAGGAAAGAACTTTGGAGGTGCAAAGACCGAATCTGCCTGACCAGCCGGCTTACGTTGCCAAGAACTTGGCGACTGAGTGGGTGTACGGTGAAATGGGTTGCGTTCAATAACCTGCTGGATAGGCTTCGACCGCGAAGATTGGGTCCGAAGGTCCCATGATGGAGGTTTAGGGGCTGCAGGTAGTGATCCATAGAACGGTAGAGGTCCATTGAGAACAGAGGGTGTGTCTCTCTGACGGACGCTGACCGTCGGCTTAATTTCGTGCTGCACAGAAGGGGTCCAGTCCATGTCGTCCACCTGGGGAGGAGGCGTGGGAGGAATTAGCGTCTCCGATTCCGGCACTGGTCGGGGAGTTGCCAGCTTCTCAAGCGGGAAGCGTGAAGTAGCTTGCTGGTCGGTTCCGCGAGAGCTGGTGAGGCGATGAGCAGTAGTGCTCGATTGCACACCGGGGGACGTAACGGCTTTCCTACTAGGGGTCGCCGTTGGCGTGCTATCCGACCATGCGACCAGCGGGCGAGTGTCATACTTGACAACGCGCCGAGAGACAACGACGGACTTGAGGTTCTGTCAGCGTGCGGTTTCTTCGTTCCTCAGCAACGACGAGACTTACCAGGATCGTGAAGAGTATCATGAATAGATGAAGAGCCGGCGGCAATGCCGGTTGTAGTCCACTCGAAGAAGGGTCTTTAAGTACAGCCCAGAAGACGCATCGCGCCACCATGACGATGAGCTGCACCTGATAGTATTCGCCCAGCCCGACGAAACGCCCTCCTCTGCCTTCGACCTTGAGTCGCAGTTTGGGGTTCCACCACAAGGACAAGATTCCCACAACCAGAGCTATACCAGCGTAGGGAGACAAGTCAATCCAGCATGAACTCGGTAGTTGACGTGTTTGTAATGTCGCACGAGAGCACGACGCAAAGGACGGCAGTGATAAGTCATCATACATATCGCGGAGATGATGATCGGCACTCAGAACACCCAGAGTATCCCAGGCGAGTTGACCAGCAACGCTGCCCCAGTAACCGATGGCACCCGCTGACACCAGTAGATTCCTCCAATTCCACCGCCGCGCGTGTCTCGCCGCCCTTCCCGCTTTGCTCCTGTCCATCATCCGTCGAAGGTGGTCCGATTTTGCCTCATATCCGGCTTGACGTATCCGTTCCTTCACCCGAGGTTCGCAGTTTGCGCATACTTGCGGGTATCGTTCCTCCAGGTTCCTGCGAAAACTGGGATATTCTCGCTCGTAGGCGCTATAATTGGGGTCCTCCGGCGACGGGAAATAAGAGGCAAGTGCACTTGTGAACAAATGCTGGTTGCGAACACATTGAGCACAGAAGAGGCCGGATCCCGTAAGATCAACCGACTCAGAGGAAACGTCTGTGGCCCCAGGACCGTAAACAGTAGGATTCGTTTCAGCGGCGGGAGGGTCAGTAATCTCTCCTTTCTAGTGACGGCATCTGCGTTAACTCGGAGTATACTAAAAACCAAGGGCAAAAAAGAGCAAGCACATACCTCATCAAGGTAGTTGACCGCTTCGCAGTGTTTGCAGCGCCATTTGCGAACGTTCTTGTCAGCTTGCGCAGAGCGACGTCCACAATAGAAGCAGCTTAGTCGCTTGGAAAACATGATTTAGTATTTCATGTCAGATCCGATGACATTGATGGTGATTTTTCCAAGAGAGAATCTAGTGCGCTTGAAAAACAATTTATTTATGGAGTGATGATAAAGGGTATCTTGGTGTTTTTGTCTATCACAGGAGTTAAGACAACAACAGGAAAATAATCACCGAGCTCCGCACGGACCACGTGCCGTCCGCAATTAATCCAATGACATAAACCAATGGGAGAATGTTGACAACTCCCGCCATCCCAAGACAAAATGGCTCGTTGAGTCTAGGATAGCTGCGACTGAATGATAATCTAAGGTGTTTCCAGCTTTGAGAGTCTGTCAGGGCTAGAATGCCAACAAAAACAAGTGAAACAGGTGTCGTTTTCTGACTATCGTGTCTTCAAGTGCACTACGTTGAGGATGAGATCTAGCTACAACAGTAGCTAATTTTACTTCCAACTGGCAATCTTCGTCTGAAATCGCGAGAATAAGCTCCCTATGGCTCTGCTGTCTGTCAAGCTAATCCTCTATGGCCTCTTATTTGTGGCCATATGCGGCACTGTCGCATTAACTGTGAGGACACTTCTCAATCCCTCCTTCTTGCGGCGTGCTCATGACTCTATTTTCAGCTCTGCATTCGTGCTCTATCAATATCGCAGAACTCCAAAGTTCCGAAGTGGCGACGAAAGAATAGTCCAACTCATCTTCTCGTCGTCCTAGGCAGCGGCGGACATACCGCGGAGATGTTCTCTATGTTGCGGCGTATGAAACTCGACCCCTCGACATATACTTACCGCACCTACGTCGTCAGCTCGGGAGATGATTTCAGCGCTGCGAGGGCCGTGGAATTTGAAACAGAATGGCTGAAGCAAAATTCAAAGCTATCATATTCTGCCAATGACAGCAACTCCGCAGAGTCCTACGCAATCGTCACGGTTCCTCGCGCGCGCCGTGTGCACCAGTCTTACCTGACTGCTCCTCTTTCAACCCTCCAATGCTTCTACGCTTGTCTTCTTGTACTCCATGGCCGTCATCCCGAGCAAAAGTCGCCGCTTCTCAGAACAAGCTCGCCATACCCGGACGTTATCCTTACCAACGGTCCGGCTACTGCAGTCTGTATGATTTTGGCCGCCAAATATTTGCGACTGTTTCACTATCTGGGGTCTCTTCTCAATATCAAGAACCACCAAGACAGGGATATCTCGAGATCATCTCAAGCGAAGAGATCAGAGGATGCACTGGCACCAGTTCACTTCCAGCTGCGTACCATTTACGTAGAGTCATGGGCACGGGTTACAACGTTTAGTCTAAGTGGAAAGCTATTGTTACCTTTTGCTGATCGATTTCTCGTGCAATGGCCTGACCTGGCAGGAAAACAGGCCTGGATGGGCATGGGGAAGACAGAATATGCCGGTACGCTGGTAGACTAACAATAGCATTGCATTCTGACGGCGTTGCCGTGCAATCTACCATATTTCTTAGAATACGTATACTATTACAGATACTGTGAGATAATGACAAACGATATAGCTGTGTCTATCAGCCACGAACCTCAACAGAAAAGCCGAGGTCAGTTATGCGCGCCGCCCATTGCACCTCCTCAACTCAATATGTTCTTCCCCTCAGTGCTTGAGATAATCATTCGAGCCTTCTGGTCGCCTGGTCGCCTACTGCCTTTCTTGAATAGGACAATAGTACATAGGTAGAGATGGGCCGGATCAAGCTCACACAGTCAAGCAAGAGAGCTAGTAATTCCGCTCCCATGCAGATATCGGAATTATACCGATATCTTCCCCATAGTTGAAGTACATTACCCCGCGTCAATCGACCATTATTATACTGTTTCTGCCTCGACAATTATTCTTCTTGTTTATATCGTCTAGATACTGGCTTTCTACATTCTCCATAATATACCTTCAGAAAAGTATCTGTGAATCATGTCCTACTCGTTAAAAGGCCGCAATGCCCTGATCACTGGTGGCTCCCGGTACGTCTGCTTCCGGCTTCTTATTGGTAATGGCGCTGAGAATATTCAGAGGATTAGGAGCTCTAGTGGCTCAAAAGTACGCTGCCGAAGGATGTAACGTTGCGATCAACTACCTTTCGAGTAAAGACGTGGCGGAGGAGCTCGCGTCCAGCCTACAGACTCAGTACGGCGTTAAGGCAATCACTGTTCAAGGTGTAAGTCATGCTTGATTGCTGTGGTAATCCATAATGCGCGCTAGAGAGATTCACTGAGCTGGGTATTTGACTGAGACCTGCAAATCTAGGATGCAAGTCGCCGTCAAGATTGTAGCAATGCGATAAAGGCCACGATTGAACAGCTTGGAGGTCTAGATATTGTGATCTCAAATGCTGTGGGTCCTATCAGTATATGCTTCTCACTATATTGCCTCGGACTAATTGCCGTGAAGGGTTGGACCAAAATGACTACATTCAGCGATTTAGACGCCATGGATGATGATGACTGGGACAGGGTAATGAAGTCCAATCTTATGGACAACAACAGCTGACAATGTCACCCAGTGCTGGTCAACGAATGTCAAGAGCAGTTGGTACCTCTTCAAGGAAGCACTTCCTACATTCAACGCAAACCCCGACGGCGGTGTCTTCATTATAACTTCGTCCACTGCAGTAGGTAACCACCAATCCCCTCTTTGGGTCAAAATATGTCTTGTGAAGCTTGGCGCTTAATATAGTCATTTAGGCTGTCACCCCAAGCGGCAGCAGCATACCGTACGCTGTGACAAAAGCAGCAGGTAAGCTTCATAGGCAAAGTCATGAGTGAACCATGACTCACAATTCAACATAGGTTTGCACCTTATGAAGTGTCTCGCACAGAGCCAAGGTCCGAAAGTCCGCGTCAACGCTGTGGTGCCTGCTCTCTTGCTCACTGAATGGGTACGTCACATAGAAAATAGAGCGAGCAGCGCAGAACTCGGGCTAATCAAACTACAGGGACAACGGTTCCCTGCTGGAAAGATCGCTGCCTTTAAGAACAAAGCTGTACTCGGGAAACTGGTAAGAGAGGCCAAAATTTTATACTCGACCCTCGTTAGCTAATCAAGTGACCATTAGCCTGAGGTGGAGGACGCTGCCAATGCATATGTTATGCTGGCTCAGAACTCGTCCATGACTGGACAGTCCATCCACGTTGGTAAGTGACCCCAATTTATGTCATTTATCGCAATGCTGATGACACAGATGCCGGTTTTGCGATCAAATAAGCGGTGTTGTTCCGAAGACCGGCTGGAGCGTGGGTGATAGTTGTCAAACATATAGAGACTTGAGCAACGTTGAAGTGGTATCATTTTGTTAGAATAATGAAAAGAAAATGACCATGCTCGTCCTTCTCTGGTTCATTGCAAAGGATTATGAAATGGAGTGAAGTCGGCAGCGCCAGAGTGAAAGGTTCGATCGCTAAGCATCCGAGCTTTGAGCGCGGCACGAACACCATCGGCATTCTGTTCTCCTTCGACCTTCATTTGATGAATCCGAATCAGTTTACCATCTCTTGTGAACACGTACAGCCCCTTCCCTTGTTGGCGATCAATCGGATACGCGCTATCCACAAAAGGCAAACCGGGAACAAGAGAGAATGGCTCGCAGCCCTTTATCGTATCTACTTCTTCCATGTCGCTTAAGATCACTCTGCGCTGCTGGAACGAAGGATTCCCGGAAGCAGGATCGCTCGTCGCGAGGGTTTTGCTCCAGAGGGGACCGAGCACGCGATTCCGCCTGTGGATATCCTTCCATGTCCAGTTGACCCAGTCTATGTGTCGATCCTCTGGCTTAATCTTCGCCGCATGAATTAATGGCTCATCGCTCTGTGATGCCCGCCAGCCTGCGTCTTCTAGGGGAGGGACGAACAATCCTTTGCGAATACCATCCAAGAGGATCTCCGCTCCCTTAGGGGCAACGATGTTTAGAAGCTCCGGAACGGTGCATGTGTCAGGATTCGGTATCTCGAAACCGGGGCATGGAGTCTGCTGAAGGATGACGCCATGATCGAAATGCTTGAGATGTAGAGTTTGAAGCGTAACGCCCGTTTTCGTTCTCCCTGCTAGAAGAGTATGGTGTAACGGGGCCGGACCACGGAAACTAGGCATTCGCTCGTTAGATGAGCCCTTTTGAGGAACTGTTTAGGATTTTGCGGGACGTACTCGGGAAGCAACGATGGATGAACGTTCAATCCACCGTACTTGGCGTCATTGAGGATTCGCGGAGGCACGAATAAGCCAAAGGACACAGCCACTATCAAATTGATGGGACCCCCGGGCAGTATTGGGGGCTAGCAGTGTCAGTACGCAAGTCTACCGTGTCGACGAGGACTATAAATTACCGCCCAGCCTTTGAATGTATCTATCTCATGAATTGGAAGTGAAAGTTCTGTTGCGACCGCCTTAATAGGGACTATGGATCAGATAGAATTAGTGAGCATAGTTCCAAGCACATTGATCCTTCAAAGTGGACAGAGTACCCTCCCGTATTTTTTTCAAACCCCTCCCTACTCTTTTTCCAGGTCTGCAAACAACATCAATCGACGATATTCGATCTGGTCGTTTGACATGTTCTTCGTGTAAAGCTTTCAAGGAAGCAATGCTGAACTCGTCAGCTCCGCAAAAGAGGATACGGAGAGGGTCGTATGTTTTCGTCGCAAGAAATCGATATCCAAAGCTGCGCTTTGAAAGAGCGCATCTATAGTGGCAGAGAGCTCCAGCTTTCATGAGATGAGCCATGGTCTGAACCTGCCCACGTCCTCGTGAGACGGGGTCTGTATTCGCTATCTGGCTGTCGTGGTTGTGAAGGGAAGCTCCACGAAGCTTTCCCGATGCTCAGCCACGTGATGTCACCATATCAACATGCCCATCTGATCAGCGCAGCTCGTCTTCCAACGACATAGTCGTGCTCGAGTGTGCCACATCTCTGTGATGAGCAGTGGCATGATCTGAACATGCAATGCCAGATAGCGACTTAATTTCAGTGGTTCCCGCGCAGCTCTCATTCCTTGCGATATACAACCCCCTCCTCGGACCGACAGACGAAAGTATCGATGATCAGGTTGTTTTCTATACCTCCAGAACAGAGCGATCACGACGAAATGAACGATTAGCAGCTGTTAACGACGATGCAAAGTTTACTGAGGGGCAAAATGAGAGGTTGCGCCAAATAGGACTGGCGCAGGGAATGGTCAGCTTCGCCAGGTTCGAATCGCAACGTTTGCAGAACCTGAATAAAGCTGAGATGGTACTCCAGGAATTTCTCCGAGGGTAAACCGGTCGATTATGTGGAGACAGAAAAATCGACCGTCATACTACATGAGTTGGAGGAAAATTGGTGGATACTAGCAGTAAGTACGGTGTCGCGGGGCATTCTGGGTTGATCGCTGACTCTGTGACCACAGTCAATAGATCTCACTAGGCTTCCCAATGAATCAGCAAGTGGCGCTGCCTCCCAGCAAGATACATCCGGTGCTTCTCCTTTCTATTACTCCTCGAGAGAGATTTGTCCGCCGCAACTCTTGAAACAACAGCTACGCCGGGCTCACTCCATATTTCTCCTTCATCATGAGCTTACGCTTCAGCGTCTGTACGACCGCGTTGGAAGATCCTCGTTTTGCATTTTTCTTGAGCGCTTTTGGTGCAAATTTGCGTGGAGCTGGGACATTCTCCTGACTGGCAACCCCACCGTTGAATTATATAATGGCATAAAGCTTTCTGCTGGCGGCGAGCTTGGCATCGGAGTGGGCGAGGAAGAATGGGGAAGTGGGGAGAGAGAGGTTCTTGAGGACTATGTGCTCAGAACAGACGGCCTAGTGGATCTAGTCGTCTCCAGGTTCGGCGATCATCCTTCTTCCGCCGCGGAGAATTTAGCAACGACAAAGAGGTCTGAGGATCCTGCCGATGCAGGCGAAGATCAGGGAAGTTGGCTCGGTTCGGATGTCTACCCTCGTCCATCAGATGGTGTCATATTCTCTGGAGTCGGTAACATCTCGAGGTCTTCTCTGGTACAGGTCTCTCAGTGGATGGAATGGATCTTTAGATATGGGTACGAAGCGTATGGGGTGGGTGAGGACCCGACGTCACCGCGACGACGAAAACGCCGGAGGGAACATCGTGGTCGATCAGCTGCGAAAGCTCTCTCAGCTCGCCGTACCGACAAATCCCAATTGACGACGACAAAGCGCAGCTTTGCCCCAGGGATACCCCCTCCCCTCGTAGTAGGAACATCGAAAGCTGCACAGGATGCCGAACAAGGGACACCGCAAAGTAGCAGTGACAGCTCCCCATCCAGGGCCAACAAGGGCAGCGATTGGATAGGTCTCGGATCAGACACTTTGGTCAAATATCTCACGTTCGGATACGGCTCGTCGTGGAGTTTTTCGTCGGGCACAACCAGCACACATCCCCGCGTTGAGGCACTGAAGCGGGAAGAGACTGGGCCGGATGTGAGGAAAGAGGAGCAGTCTTCTGACTATGCCCAGGAAGCATCTGAAGAAAGCGCACCGAGGATTAGCAACGACACCAAACCCAAGGACCAGGCCAATGGAAAATTCATTATCGGTCTACGTGATGACTCTGACATTGTGGACCACCAATCTCCTGAAGATAACGCTAGGAACGACTCAGCAGCCAACTTGACAGAGAAGATAGTCCAGCGGACTCTGTATGTCCAACGAGCTGGTCGTTCAGGACAAAGCACAGCAGGTGATACAGAATCCTTTCCGCTACGGGTAGTGGTTTATGTCGTACGTTCAGACCCAGTACCAGGCCTCTTAATTGAGATGTCAGCTAATGTAACAAGCAGAATCAACCTTTTATATACACCTTCCTTTTCGACCCTCAAGCGCCGTCCTTGAACGACGTTTCCCTCTACCAAAGCATTCATCACCAACTCGCTCCCCTCCAGAGGTCACTGAGCAACTCCACATCACCTGCAAATGCCGCAGAACGCATTTTCATGTCCGAGAATACGCTCGACTTCAACAAACGCTTTTCAACCAAGAGTCTACCGGTCTACGATCTCGTTTACGACCCCACAAATCTGACCATCCGCTCTTCTATTCCGAACATCCCGGACCTCGGACACTACTCTCTGGAGACATCGCCATGGTCCCGCGTCGAGAGTCTTAACATTCACCAGCGCCTCCTGAGCACATACACCGAAACCAGGCTGCGTCCCCTCGAACTCGAGCGAACTTGCAAGACCAGCCGCGGCTGGTGGATCGTTTGGGTACGAATCACTGAAGCACAACTCCCGGACCATCAAGATGATCACGATTCAAGTGTTAGCCATGACGAAGGTTTTTCTCCCCCTCCCGCGCGGGAAGCATTCCTGGTCCGTAAAGCAAGCGACCACGTCTCGGCATCGGGGCATGCTCGCGGTGGCAGCGGGACACGATTCTTCAGAGATCTTGGGGGTGCCTCATCACCGGGACTGCAAGCCTCCCGCTCTGAGACGGGGCCGGGCAAACTTGTAGAGGGGCTGGGCCTTGATGCGAGACGATATATAGAGAATCTATTAAGCCTGAACAGATAATGCCATATACTCGGATTTAGGAACTTTTCTATCAGACTCCACATTTCATTTGTCAGAACCCTCGCAAAGGCAAACAACGTTAAGAAGAGAAAGTGCGGTAACATAGACAACCGTCTCGACATGATTGCGATTTGACAAGTGACAGAACGGATCTCTGTTAGTTCCAGTCAAACTAGATAGGCAACCGCTTGGCCTACTCCATAGTACGTAGCAGAGTATTGGGCTCGCAACAGAGCATGACCATAGCCATGCATTTATCTATTTAAAACGATCACTATTGGATCTCCACTCGATAGTCTGGCACCAGCCCCATCGAGAATAACACATAATCTGCTTAGTGCTACAAGCTACCATCCTGTGGACTACTTTTTCGCACCTGTAGCAGACTCTAGAAGGTTGACTTCAACATGACACTGATGAAGAATGCTATTATCTACTCCATGGTCCGAATTTGTAGTGGGGTGCTTGCTACTGAACGGGGTCGTAAGTCTAGTAACAGTTCAACAGATTTGTGAAGCACTATTCTCCGTCATGTCCCCATTGCAAGGCTACTCTGTGTGGATGCAGGAGTATTCCGGCTTACCAGAAGCCTGAAAATGTAGCAGTACATAGTATATATGTCATCGTATTGCCTAGTTCTCCTGAACACATTGCTCGAATATATGGTAATGCGAAACTACCAGCAGTG